AAATAAATTAATATAAAGATTTATAATTTAAAATTAGTAAAATTTAAATTAATATTTAAATTTAAAAAATTTTATTAAAATTAAAATAATAAAAATAATTTTTTAAAATATTAAATAAACTTTATAAAGCTATACAAATTTAATTATTTGGTTTTTATAATATAAACTTTTAAACAAAACTAACTAGCTAGTTTTTTTAAAAAAATTTCATATATAAAATTTTATAAACTTTATATATCAATTTTTTTAAACACATCTAGTTATTAAAATATAAATTTTTTACCCAAATTATTTTTATTAAATATACATACCATCTCTCTGTAATTATACAAATATTTTTTGCTTCATCTATATACTGTTTAACTTCAAAAATTGCTTTTTTATATACTTGATTAAGTAATGTTGTTTTTGTTTAGGCAATTTGAATGATGGACGTACTTTTTTAAAAAGCTTAACAATTGGTTCAAGCTCAATTGGACGACCACATTGATATATAGCTTCTGCAAAACTAAATTCAAGATTCTTTTGTTCACCAGTACTTATTTGATCAAAAAATTGAATAATATCACTATTTCGTTTATTTAATAATATTAATGGTTGGCTAATTGATAGTTTCTTTGTATATCTAAGATTAGGACCATTGATTCTAGAACATTCAAAATCTTGCCCAAAATATTCTTGCAAGACAAAAATATTTACATTAGAACATAATTTAAAATATTCTTCACATCGCACTGCTGTACTTATATATTCAAAAAAACAATAATTGCATTTTGCTCTTTCTTGTATATATCCATCTACAAGTTCTAACTTTGTAAAATGGTCCGAAATTTTTTTTGGTTTTGTCATTAGAATAAGAAAAGTTTAATAACAGGTAAAAATTTTTATTTTTTAAATTTATAATTATTATGCTTATATCGCATCTAAAGTAGCTACATGTTTAGAGTAGTTACTTTAGGCATCTAATATAGTACCTGACTAGAATTATAGATTAATGCATGTATGAAGATTTGCTTAATTTTAGTCAGACACTACTTTATATATCTAAAGTAGCTACTTTAGATAGATCACTACATTAGATGCAATATATACAAGTTTAATTTATCTAACAAGAAAGCTTCTTCAGAAATTATCTAGAGTAATTACTTTAGATATTTAATATAGCACATAACTGGAATTATAAATTAGCATATGACATGTATGAAGATCTGCTTAATTCTAGTCAGGCACTAATTTATATATCTAAAGTATCTACTTTAGATAGATTGCTATTTTAGGTGCAATATGTACAAGTCTAATTTATCTAACAATAAAGCTTCTTCGGAAATTATCTAAAGTAATTACTTTAGACATCTAATGTAGCACCTGACTGGAATTATAAATTAGCACATGTATGAAGATCTGATTAATTCTAGTTAGGCACTACTTTATATATCTAAAGTAGCTACTTTAGATAAATTGCTGCTTTAGATGCAATATGCACAAGTTTAATTTATCTAACAAGAAAGCTTCTTAGGGAATTATCTAGAGTCAATTATTTTAGACATCTAATATAGCATCTGACTGAAATTATAGTCAGGTGCTACTTTATATATCTAAAGTAGCTACTTTAGATAGATCGCTACTTTGGATGCAATATGTACAAGTTTAATTTACTTAACAAGAAAGCTTTTTCAGGAATTATCTATGTTGATCGATTAATGAATTTGATTGGTCAATTGGCACATCAGGCCCTCTTAATAATAAATAATTGGCAAAAATTTTAGCATACAGTATATACAGTACGTACAGTACTGTACGTATAGTACTGTATGTGGCACATCACTAGGTAGGTGATCATGTGGATATCTTTTCTCAAAGTAAAATGCCTATCAAGAAAGAAGTTGGAATCTGCAAATTTGAGCAAAGATACCTCCACAACTACCTAATTAAATTCGAAAAAAAAATTTATTTGAATTATATGGATCCATAGAATTCAAATAAAAAAAAATTCATTAAATTTGGTTAGGTAGTTGTGGAGGTATCTTTGTAAAAAAGATTAGCATAGCTTTGGGGAGAAGATATTTTCCATAACCACCAATTCATGTTTGGTTAGATTGAATTCTATGTATTCATAGAAATTCAAATAAAAAAATTTTTATCAAAGTTGTTCAGATATTACCAAGGTATTTTGATTTAATGTTTTGAAATTTTTGATTTTTCTTCACATCGGTATGTCGATCGGTAGGTGTCCGGAGACCAGGGACATGGAAATATTCTTTCAATTAAAAGTAAAAATTTTGATCGATTTAGATAAAAATTTTGATTTATTTCGAAACTATAATAGAATTGGCAGAAATCACATGTTAAAACAATTAACAGCCAACCATTTTATGATCACATGATAAAATTGTATCCAAAAAATTTCGAAATTTGAAAAAATTACATATAAAAAAATTTTTTTCAAAAAATTTTCGTGTCCCTGCCGGAGACTTTCCCAAAATTGCTACCAAAAGTTTTAATCATCACGTGACAAATATATCAAGCACCAAAAAGTTATTTAACTTGAACAAACAAAAAATTTATAGACTAAAAAATAATAACAATAAGCAATAAATTAATCATTTTATTATTTCAAATAAACTCGATAAATGTAATATTTATTA